TGCTACTGTCTGGGCTTTTGAATTTGCAAGTGAGAGAGAACTCCGGGCCCAGCCAGCTCCGGCAGAGAGACAGCTCTGCAGACCCATTCACCCCGGTCGCGCTAAGCACGTCTTCTTGTCTTGCTTCCAGTTTCTGCTGTGCTGTCGCCACTGCAGTGGAGCTACCACTCGGGGTGCCCCTGAGAGGCCCAGCCTTAATATTTCATGAGATCCACGTCCCAGGAAAAACACGTTTGCTCTCAGATGGTTCGAGCAGAAGTCGGAGGTCTGGCTCTCACGGTGTAAATCAGACCACGGGAGCGTCCCTGAGCCACCAGCCGTGGCCACACGACGGCCATGCTGGCAGGACTGCCCCGGCCCGGCCAACTCTGCCTGCGAGCAGGTGGCTGCGCGTGGACGGGGACTGGTTCTCCAGGGAGCGTTTGCAGTGAGAAGAAAGAGAACGGCCATTGGGTGGCAAACATTTCCGCTCAGTCGGCGCGAGCTGCACCCGGCTGCCTGCACTCAGTCTCCATTGCAAGTAGGCCCGGCTCCCTCGTACCAGTGGGGGACTGGTTGCAGGACTCACCTCCCCGCAGGTACCAGAATCCCTGGAAACTCAAGTCCCTTCTATAAAGGTGTCGTATTTGCATGAACCTACACGCATCCTCCAGATACTTTAAATATCTCTCGATTCCCTATAATCCCTACTGCCCGGTAAACGCTGTGTAAGTAATTGTCCATCATATTGCTTAGGAAACGATGACAAGAAAAAGTCTGCACAGGTCCAGCAGCGATGCAAACATCTACCGTATTTGCCGGCGTATAAGACGATTTTTTGGCCCTGAAAAATATGCCTCCAAGTGGGGGGTCGTCTTATACGCCAGGTACACTTCAGATAGACTGCCCATAGTGCTTGCCCCGTGCCGTAGTGGCCTCCCGATGCCCGCCCACTTCATTCCACATACCGTTCAGGCATCAGCAGCGCTGCTGGGTGTATGCTCGGCTGTTATGCGATTTTGCTGTTATGCGATTTTACCACACTCGCAAAATCGCACACAGCCGACCATACACCCAGTATGATAGCGCAAAATCGCGAATCGC